CATAAGTTTTGTTGTTCTTCAGAAACACCTCAAGACAAAATATATGAGATGCAAATGCTCTGTGGTGATGTCCAGATTGTGAAATTCTCAATCAGCATTGCTCTACCTGAGAATTCGGGAAGAACACATTTAGAGGACTTTAAAATTAGAGAAGGCTGCTAAATATTTCTTTCATACATTTCAGAGCTAAGCTATGATATAAAAAAGGAAGTTTAAACTCTGATAAACATTTTTGGGGACTCAATGACAACCAAAATATTATTTGTAAATACATTTTACATTTATAAGACCACTGACTTGGGAGAGGAAATTGACTTATGTCTCAGTAAATACCATATTTTTCGCACTATAAAACGCACCAGACAATAAAATGCACATTAGCTTTAAAGGAGGAAAACAAGAAAAAAAATCTGCCTTTGCTTCCCAGCATCCATCCAGTATTCATCTGACTTGCATCCTTGCTGCAAACAGCAAACAGCCTGGTCAGCTTCAGCACATTATCGCAGTCCCACCTCGTGGCTCGTCAGGGCTCTGCTCCATTGCGCCCACCACCTGTCAATTGAGCTGAGCTACTGCCACCACTGGGGAATGCTGGAGCTTTCGCTGCCGAGCAGGTGATTGGCGGTTGGATCAGCCTCCCAGAATACAGCTGATCAGCTGTTCTAGGTGGTGGGATCGCCGCTGTCACCAATCGCCTTCACCTATAGGCAGCGATCGGCAACAATTGGTGGCAGCGGTGGCGGCGATCCCTGCCGCCTAGAACAGCTGATTGGTGGTATTCCGGGAGGCCGATCCAACCGCCAATCAGCTGCTTTGCAGCAAAGGCTCCAGCATTCCCCAGCGGTCGCCCCCTCGCCCCTCCCCCACAATATTTGCTCTATAAGACACACCCACATTTTTGGGGGGAAGTGCGTCTTATAGCGCAAAAAATATGGTATATTTAGAAGTCTATTGCAACTGATTATTTTCATAGTTGCGTACGCCTCTGTAAATTATTTTATTTTTGCTATTTTGACATGGTTTGCCGCAGGCATAGAGTCTCCTTTCACACAGAGAACATTCATGTTTATCCCATCATTCATGTTTATCCCATCATTTTCCACACTTAAGCCATTTAATTATACAACTTGCAATTAAATGGGAGAGAACAAGGAACTGTAGTTCTTTATTATAGTTCACAGCTAAGTTGTAATTCATACGTCTACTTTTCAGTCTACTGAAATGTATACTAAAACGATTCACTCATATCTTTTTCATTTATAAGTAATTTTTTTAAAATGTCAAATTTTACATCTTTCCTAAGTATTAGGAATAGAAATCATATTATGCTTGTCCCTTGTAGTAAAAGTAGATGATTTATTATGCTATTGTTTGTACATCTACAATTAACTTTTGAAATGTGTTTACCGCATTTACTTCCTGATAATTAACAGTCAGGATAATCAAGAGCAATCAAAACTAACAAAAGAAAAAAATAATATATTAAAGTGCCAAACTTTTTCAAAACTGAACTTTGGTATACTCTAGTGGTATTTTTGATGAGATGAGAAACCTACCTACATTTTTATTTTGATGAACTATAGATACATCATATCAACTTCAGTGCACTCATAGTTCATTGTAAAAATATAATGCAACAAAAAATACTTTACTTTACTTTAATCCAGTTTACTTTAATCCAAGTAACAAGGGTCATCATATATGCTGAAGGAAACAAGTACTCGGGTGTTAATTTGTCAAGTCTTTTCATAATTTACAAACCATAAAACAAAACTTTGTCACATTTAGGGCAAAGATATATGGCTTCTTATCTGAGCCTAACTATTTTAAACAGAATAAAGCTGAGCAATTAGGATAGATAGAATATTGTTCAGAAAGATTTATATTCTTGAAAATCAGAATATACTGTAAGTCAGTTACAACTCCCTGCATAAAATTAAATGGAGACAAGGCATCATATGTGTAAAATCTGTTCACTTTCAGAATTTTCTTGAACTTCCTGTGAATGATTCCATAAAGGTAAGGACATTAAAACAGGTTAAGGTTAATGCCTGTAACAGTATGTGTGAATAACCTTGGGGGACAGAAGAGAGAGCCCCAGGCTCTCAGTGTGTAAATGATATCTAAGCGGAGAGAGAAGGCATGGGAAATGTTTCAAAAGGGATCCTTTCCAGAGAATAAAAGGAAAGAAGGGGAAATATCCTTTCAGTCTTGCATGATTTTGTTATTGTAACTTTACAATAAATATAGAGCTAGTACACCTAATTGTGTTTCTTCTCTGGACTACCTTGCAGGGTTTCTGAATTTAGGACTTGTTAGATTATCAGATTTTTAAAAAAAATCTAAAAGTAACAAGCATGTTTTAAATGGTACATTTAGATTTATGAAATTTGAAGACTTTATTGCAGTCATTAACCAGCACCATACTTAGCAATATTATTTCATTTAAGAAAGGATCCTGTAAAATTAGAGCAAAAGTCTTTCCCATCCAGGGTACTGATCCTATTGATGCCTTACTAGATGTCAATCAAAATTCCCACTGTTATTTTTTAATAAATTTTTGTGGTGTTTAAAGACCCACTGCCTCTGATCATATAGTTTAAAAAAATTCTTGCATATTTTGATTGATTGATCAATAGCCATAATACATTTTTGTTAATATTGTTAGTCACTGTTAGCTTTATTTTCCATGAATTGGGATAATCTGCTTTTAAAGTAGCAAAGTTGACTATACAGAAATGAATTGTATAGATAATGTAATGACCAGAGTTAAGTATTTCCTTTTATCAGCTGCGAATGAACAAAGGGTAATACTTAACCATTTTTGTACATAGCAATAGCACTTAGACTTATATACTGCTTCACAGTGCTTTTATAGCCCTCTCTAAGCAGTTTACAGAGTCAGCATATTACCCCAACAATCTGGGTCCTCATTTTGCCCACCTCGGAAGGATGGAAGGCTGAGTCAACCTTGAGCCTGGTGAGATTTGATCTGCCAAATAGCAGGCAGCCAACAGTACTGCATTTTAACCACTGTGCCACCGCGGCTCAATGTATAAGTGGGGAGAGTGGGAGAGAGGAGAGAGAGAAAAAGAGCAAAAAAGTTTGACGTCTTTATCATAAACTCTTAAATACTGAAGGAAATAACACTTTTTTAACATGCAGCTACATCATAACTAAGTTTGTAAAGGCAGGAGGAGCTGAAAGGCGGCTTTTATGGATGAGCTTTAATCACTAGCTTCTTCTTCTTTGATGAGCTTAAGACATGAAAAATGTCATCCCAAGCAGATCTAAATAAATTAAAACCTTCTTGTGGAGTGAGATGCTTCTTGAATGGACTCTCAGGATCATACATATATACCAAAACAGAAGATGAAGAGTTACAAATATGTAATTCTAGGCTAACCAGACTACCAGTATTTTAAAATGGATATAACTAGATGTTTTTGTTTGAATGCCCTGGCCTGAACATTTCAGTGGAATAATGGAATGCACACATTCTTGAGCTGAATTCAGTCCTAGCCATTGCACAGTCTTATCCATGTCCTTTTCTTGGCAACAATATTGGAGTTGTTTGCCATTGAATACTTCCAAGATACATTGTCTTCCCAATTTCTTAACATAGTCTTCAGCCACCAGCATTTCCTGATGGTCTCTCATTTAAGTCCTGAACAGGTCTAACTTACTGAGCTTTCCTGACCTAAGCAAAGGTTAGCTGAGCAATATTATCTGTTGTGATATTTTCTAGGGAGCCCAGTATGATTAAGCAGCATTTATACAAATATGAAGTGGAGTTGGTCTTAATACATCAACATTAGAATTTTTGGATGAATATGAAACAACACACACACACACACAAACAAGAACTACATAGAGCGGGTTTACTGTATATAGGTAGTCCTGACTTACAACGGTTTGTTTAGTGACCGTTCAAAGTTACAATAGCACTTAAAAAGTAACTTATGATCATTTTTCACAGTTACAACCTTTGCAGCATCCTCATCATCATGTGATAAAAATTCAGATGCTTGCCAACTGGTTCATATTTATGACTTATGACCTTTATTTAAACTTATGACCACTGCAGCATGCCCACATGATCAAAATTCAGATGCTTGGCAACTGACTCATATTTATGACCATTGCTGTGTCCCAAGGTCATGTAATCATCTTTTGCAACCTTCTGACAAGCAAAGTCAATGAGGAAGCCATTCACTTAACAATCAGGTTACTAACTTATCCACTGCAGTGATTCACTTAACAACTGAGGCAAGAATGGTAATAAAATGAGGAAAACTCATTTAACAAGTGTCTCACTTAATAACAGAAATGTTGGGTTCAATTGTGGTTGTAAGTTCAGGACTACCTGTGTACTGTACAAAGTATTTGAGACATTACAACATTTATATGTTTAGACATTAAGAATTTCCTTCCTCAGTCTTTATAGTTATTCTATTTATTTCTAGAGTACTGGATATAAGCTAAATATCCCAGAGAAAGCTGGGGGAGGGGGGGTTAAAATCTTCCTGCAAATGCCAGTTGATTTTTCCACCAAAGAAATTAGGAAGGAATTCTCCAAGGCGATCCTTATCTAATCATTAGCATTCTGCTTTGTTGCTTTCTCTGAGATAAGAGGAATCCGACCGATCACTTATGCAAAACGACCTGCCGGGAGAAATATTTGTCATGCAAAGGGAGCACCTGGATTTGCCCCCTTCTACTTTTTCAGTAATATATGACCTCTCAAAGCTCTTTTCCAAATCTCTTTTCCCCGGGTTGGAGGACAGGATGCCAATTTACCACTTAGGCTCCAGAAACAGGTTTAAAAACTCAGTCAAGATGCTGCACGACCAATTCCTAGAATGGATCCCTGAAAGGCATCTACTACCTGCGCCGCACCCCTTCTCCCCAAAACCCCTGTTCTGCCTTCACCGCGCCGACGCCGCCCTCCTTGACCCGAAGGGGGGATTCATAAACCCTCTGTGTTTCCTTCCACTTACCGATCTTGGCTAAGGAAGCCAGGAGGATCCAGAGGGTGATCTCGAAGGGGATTTGCACGTGTGGGTAATCCAAAGTAAAGACGTGGAGCCTGGTCTCCTCGAAAGGGGTCTCAGCCGGGACCTGCAAGGTGTTTGCACCGGGACTGGGATGGATGGCTGGCATGGCAGCCGGATCGCTCAGCTCTTTTTCCGAAGCGGCGGCGGCTGCTGCTACCACAGACGGCACAAAGGCGGCCATCAGGAGCAGCGAGGGGCCGATCCCCGGGCAGCCCCGAGCAGCCCCCATTGAGCGGCTGCGGGGCCGGCACTCTCCGTTCAACTGGAAGGAGAAGCAACGCCGGCGCTAAACCGGTTCACTTCCAGCATGATGGTGGTCCTGCCCTCATCGCCTGCAGGGAAGGCAGAAGTCACGCGGGTGGGGGGGGGGGGCGGACCGGCCAAGAACGCCCTCTACTCCACCTTCCACGCCGGGTTTCATCTCCTCCTGGCCGGCCGGTGGGGCTCACCTGCAGGCTCTCTCCTGCGAGGCTCGCCTTTCGCTCCCCCGCCCTTCTTCGTTACAACGCCACCTCTTCCTCATTTACGCACCTGCAGGCGAGAGGAAGGAGGGCGGCAATGCCGGGCTGGGCTGGGTTGTGGCAATGAGCGGCAATGGACAACTTTTGGCAGCCCCAAAGAGAGTTTCCCGCGCGCCTCCCTTCAACGCTTAGGGGGCTTTGAAGGTCATCCACATGAAGAGACGCTTTGCAGCCCGCCAGGGCGTCTTCTCACAGGACGGTTCTCCCCAATGAGCGCCGCCCGAGGGCCTGGGAGGGAGGAACGGGGCCCTGGACTCGTCCCCCTCGGCAGCGCGGAGACCAGCGCGAGGGAATCAAAGCTGACGGGAGATTTTTCTGAACTTTTAGGGAAACTTTCCTGTCAGCTGTCAACAGCCCTCAGTCAAGGGCAGCCGGGTTCCTCAGCTCTGGCGGCTGATACGGGTAGCGTTTAAGGCGAGGAGAATGCAGTGGAAAGAAAAGCTAACAGGATCTCCTCGAGGGATGGGGGCAAACTGGAAATGACTCCTCTATGAATGAAAACTTCAAAAGAGGTCGCAATTCCTTGTGAGAAAAGTGCCATTCAACCTCCTGAAGGCTTATCCATTCTCCTATAATATCGCTGTCTCTGACCTTGCCTACAGAGAGGTGCTGGGAAGAAATAGGATTCTGCTTCCAATAATAACCCATGACTCAATGTGTTCTGTCAGGGCAGAATTGGATATTTGAAAGTCAACTTTCTCATGGCAGATTTGTGGACTTTGTAAGGATGTACTCGGAAAGCCTTTTTTGTTCCAGGGCAATAGGGTGAGAGGATTCATGAAATGCCTTGGATCCATATTTTATACTAGGGGATACCAAAAACCAGGTGTAACTTTAAAGTTAGTTATTTACTAGGTAAAATTAAGACAATATTCCAGTTGGCTTTTTATCTAAGGCAGGACTAGAACTCAGTCTCCAGATTCTATTCCAGTACCTTAACCATTACACCAAACTGCCCTTATCTACATACCTAAGTGGCCCTTGATGATATATTTCATAAATACTTTATTAACAGGTTGAAAAGGGAATTGTAGAAAGTGAGGCTTTTTAATATTAATTGGACTTATCATCACTATCTTTAGTGTGAGACAGAAATTAAATATTTTTAAAGTTAACTTGATTATCTCAAGTGTCTCATAAAAAAAGCAACAAACTAAAGTTAAATTCTTAATGGAAACAGTTAAATAATAATTATTTCTTATGTATCCCATCCATCTTCTGATCTACTGTATATAGATATTTAGTCAATGCTAGATATCAATATAGCAAATTTTATACTTCTAAACTCAAATTGTATATTGTACTGCAATAGGTAACAATATCTAAGTTATTGGCCTTCAAACTTCAATAAATTGACACACTGTACCATGTATTTAAAATACCCATGTGAAAGTGTATACAGATTTCAGATCTATATGAATCTTAAAAATACAATAATAAAAAGTAAAATATTTTCAGCTTAAAGCAATCAAGCTACTTCATTCGCAAAATGAAACATATAGTAAAACTGAACTTTTTAAGAAAAGACAATCCAGTGTCATTTTGAAGGTGCTGTGATTTGAGCAAGAGGTTTAAAATGGCTTCTCTCATCTTCCAGACTCCAAACACACTGGAGACCACTGTCTTGTGGTCTCTTGGGACAGGAGAAACTGTCTGACAATATCAAGTCCTCTACTTATCCAGAGATGAATTATGAAGAGCTGGTCTACATGCCAGTGTTCAGTCTATCACAGACATTGGCTGAAGCCATCTTCAAATCACTATTTCTTTCCCAGAAATCCTCAAATATTTTTAACACTATCATTATCTATTAAATTTCACATTTATGGACTTTGAAAAAAAATCAAATAAGTATCCAGACTCAATAATCTAATTTTATTTTTTTTAAAAAAACTGAAGAAAGTTTATGAAATTGCAGTTAATTACTTATGAAAGACTATACTTGAATATTCTAATAAAATTAGGTCACTTTAAAGGAAGCAATGTAAGTTATTTTTATCTTAACATGACATTGGAATAACAGAAAGCATTAGTATTGGATGACTCTGAAAACATCTAAAAAGGATCAAATGCAATTGACAGAATTTCATTTAAGAACTCTGAACATTTCCCCATGACTTGTCACATCACTATTGTCACTTTTAGGGTTGAAACATTCAGGGCTATTAAAATGATTGATGGCTTTTGGAAAAGGACACATATGTTCTATTTCACTATATTTGTAACTTTTGGTTTGTATTTAAAAATCAAGAGTACATAAAATTTAAATGTGATAGAATAGAAATGTTGCAACAAAGCTGTGGAAACTCAGTGAGTCACTCTGAGAGTGAGATGGTACCTAAATTTGACAAATAAATACATAAACTAACATATACTCATTCATACTATTGGCTTCAAGGCAACCCAATTTTGAACAAATTCATAATGACAATTACTTTTCTAAAGATAATTCCTATTAATCTCAAAACACTACAGATATATTAAGAGGAGAAAACATTATGAAAAAATAATGTTATTTTTTTTCATAGATGATCCAATCCCAAATTCACCTGCACAAATTCAACATTGTTAAACATAAATAGGCAAACATTTTTTCAATGAAAGTTAAACAAAATGGATGAAAAATCTAATATTGGGAATTCTACCATTAAAAAAGACTGATTTCCAGGAGAACCTATTAAGCATTTCTATAACTGAAATATGCATTCTAAATTTCAGCTGAACTCTGCTCAACTTTATTAATCTATGTTTAGTTAGGTCAAGAAGACTAAAAAAAGACAGCTTACTTAGTATTTATCTACTATTTTAAATTGAATGGTTTTTGCAAAAAAATACATTAAATGTTGCAAATTTGGCCAATATTTTAATTATATCCATACTGCAGTAAGGTGGGCAGAATACTTACTTATGCTACTTTAAAAATTCATGACAGAAAACCAATGCTTGGACGTAATGAAAAGATTTCATTCATTTCATTCATTTAAGATGGTCAAGGGCTAAAAAGGAATGGGTTGATTTAAAACATATTTTATATTATCAGTAAGCAAAACATTAATCAGAAATGTAGAAAGCATAAGCACAGTATATGTTGCTCCATTTCAGACTGTCCCCTTTGCAAGCACATTAAGCTTTGAATCTCCGTCATTTCTCCGTCCAAGAGAAAAGTTCTGCAAGGGACTTTCTGCACTACAACCCTTGCAGCATTCTGCCACGAGTGGCTCCACAGGCGCAACAAGGCTCGTCTTGCCAGTGGAGTTGCTTGTGGCAGAATGCCACAATTCTCATCTTGCTGGTGCCCCTGCTCGTGCACGTGATGGCATAACGCACCATGCAGCATTCAGCTGCGAGCGGGTCCACCGGCACAATGAGCCTCGTGGCAGTCTGCCATAAGCATCTCCACTGGTGCAATGAGGTAAGCTGGTGCGGAGCGCATGGGGCACCTCCACTCCTCCACCCCTGACCTAGCTTGATTTTTACTCCTGTGCCTTGCACCACCTCATACAGCCAGATGTGGGCAGGGCTTCAGTAGGGCTTATATTTGGGGTAGGGCTTATATTAGGCACAGGTGTGAAATTCGGGCTAGGAGTTGTTTTCAGGGTAGGTTGTATTTTCAGGAAAACATGATACTGCTTTACAAAGCCTTAGTAAGACCACACCTGGAATACTGCATCCAGTTTTGCTCATCCCATTTAAAAAAGATGCTGAGACTTTGGAAGAGTGCAGAGAAGAGCAACAAAGATGATTAGAGGCCTGGAGGCTAAAACGTACAAAGACTGGATAAAGAAATTAGGTATGGCTAGTCTAGTGAAAAGAAGGATTGGGGTGAAATGGTATCAGTGTTCCAATATTTGAGGGACTGCCACAAAGAGGGGTTAATCTATTTTCCAAAGCACCTAAAGGCAAGAAAAGAAACAATGGGTGGAAACCAACTTAGAACTAAAGAGAAACTTCCTGACAGTGAGAACAATTAGCCAGTGGAATGGCTTGCCTTCAGAAGTTGTGGGTGCTCCATCACTGGAGGCTTTTAAGAAAAGAGGCTTTTTGTCAATCTAACCAAGAAACACAGACAATTATGTAAGAGGCAGGATAGAATGATGATGTAGATAAATACCTAGAAGGATTTCTAGAAAGTTATATAAATGTAGTTGATATTTTCATAAAAATGAAACCTTGGATATGTATAAATGTCTAAATAAGTAAACATCTAAAATAGATATGTATAGATAAAAATAGACGAAATAGAAAACAACCACCGACGCAACAGCTTTCAGAAGTCAATCAGTGGACTGAGTTAATGTTGGTTTGTTTTTTTCTTTTGTATTGTCTTAATGTATCCATGTTTGTATGTATTTTTGTTTTGTGTTTTTGTTTAACTTATAAAACCTTAATAAAAAAATAAAAAAAAAATAAAAGACTGGACAACCACTTATCAGAAATGGTGTAGGATCTCCTGCTTCAGCAGGAGGGTTGGACTAGAAGACCTACAAGGTCCCTTCCAACTCTGTTATTCTCTTACATCTGTGGTTAGGAAAGTTACAGAATTCCAAATGCTAACATTATAGGATAAAATTCTTCAGTGAAGCTTTCTGCTCATCGGAATGCTGGTCTTCCAGTCACCATATCCAGGGTAATCTGCTGTCACAGATGCATACATATTCCCCATGCAATTGCAATTGCATCATATATCTTGCTTATCTGCTATAAACTTGCTACAAAAAATAAAACTGTGGAACTTTGTATGAGTGATATTACATAGAGCAGTGATGGCTAACCTTTTTGCCATTGCGTGCCAGGAGGGGGGGGTGAGGGAATTCGTGCACGTGCGTGCTCACACCCATAATTTTATGCACCCCACCCTGTGCATGCATACGCAACCCCTCCTCCACCCTGCTCCTGGCATGTGATGGCCGGTAGACCCATTTTTCTTTCTCACCTGGCTCCAGATCCTCTCTATGCATCTGGGCAAGGCAAAAACAGCCTCCCCCACACCCTCGGAGGCCCTCCAAAGGTCTGAAAAACAGCCCATTTCCTAGAGAGGTT